CCTTCTTAACCGCCGGGGGGAGCTGCTTTTCCAGCAGGGGCCCCAGGGGCTTACCCAGGGGCCGGCGCCTCCACCTCAGCACCCGCAGCTGCAGTCAGCGGCAAGCACCCCTGCCCACCACCTCCACCTCCAGCAGCACCACCAGCCAGCTGTCAGCATGGCTGATCTGCGGCCCGAGACACTCATCCAGTGTCAGCAGATCGTCAAGGTCATCATGCTCGACAACAGCGGCCATGGACGCATGGAGGCCTTCCTCAGTCAAACGCCCACACACCACCACTACCAGCATCACCACCACAGCCACCACCAGCTCAGTCATTCGGCCATGTCCACCCCGGTCCGCTCGCCGGACGGCTCCCATGGCAACGATGGCCACCAGCCCCCGCTGCCTCCTCCACCTCCGCCTTACAACCACCCGCACCAGTATATACCACCCGACCCCCGCCTCAGTCTACACCGGACCCCAAGTGGCTCTCGGAGCATGGTGTAAATAAATCAATTAGTATTCTTTCCCCGAAACACACACTTCCACACAAACCCTACCCCCTCCTCTACCTATTTAAAAGTACATAATGTACATATATACATACAGATGAAAGAGCTATAATAAAAAAATAAAATCTCACTTATATGCATATATTTAAGGAAAAAAAATAAACGAAAAGAAAAATCAAGGTTTTAAAAAGAGATACGGAGAAATAAAGTGCATATATAAAGTTTTACTTGATTCCACATGTATTTTGAAATATTATGTAGTTTTAACAAATTTCTATAACTTTTTGTCAGTTTTAACTCTTGCTAGAGAAAACAGATGTTCAGTTTCTGGATGGATCCCTTGTAGTTCCAGTATTCACCATCAACAACAACAACAGAAATATGTGAATCCCTCAAACTTTTTTGGGGGGGATTGTGATGGACAGTCACACTCCAAGGACCTCCTGCTTCTGTTTTTCGCTTTTCTCATCCCCAAACCTCATGCCTACTGTGCTGTATGTGCGCTTGCGTGCATAGTTGACACTTAACTGAAAACATGTGCCAAAATACATACGCTTCCACTGAAAACACTGACTTCTTTGCACTTGACTAAATGCTAGGGCTAGAAGAAAAGAAAAAAAAAACCCTCCCTCCTTTTTGTTTTGAGAAAATAGTCCTTTCACGCTTCTCCCTCAAGGAGCACAAAAAAAAAGAGTAACAAAACTGATATTTCACAAAAAACCTATCTCCTAGTTTGCGCTGTTGCTGATTTATTTATGTGATGGAGAGCCTTCTCTCTTCTTCTCTGCTCCCCTGGATTTAAAAAAAACAAAAAAAAACCAACCTCCTCCGATAAGCTGTGTTTGTTATGCGCTCCTCCGTTGTGTTGTGGCTCTCTATCATCCGAAAACACTCTCGCTCAATTGTCACTCTCCATAGATCATTCTACAGCGAACGATGACAGGAAACAAAAAGGCAACCAATCACATGGATTGCTGCCATACCAAAAAGTCAGCCCGGGATGGTCCTGTTGATTGTTTGTCTTCATATTTAATATTGTTAGTTCCCGGGACTTCTCGCCACATTTATCTGCTGATGGAGCGAAAGTTTTTCATATTTTGGAAATTGTTTAAGGCTGAAACTGCTTTTGGACTTTTCTAAAAAAACAAAACAATTCAGCATTCACATGTAATTATGTGCAACACGCTGTGCTGTCATCTGTTCTTTATGAAATGCTTCTTCACATTTTCAGGAAATCGCCATGAATTTCCATGAGGATGCTTCTGCTACAACTGTTAAATGTCAAGATCTGTGTTTATTTTAATTTGCAGAAAGCATATTCCACCTTTGTGTGTTTTTTTCCCCCCACCCGTCGGTGGATGAATGCAGGACCGAGTCCACCCGCAAAAACACATCCAGACACCGTCTCTTTGTGTCGGTACAACTCCCAGGTTTGGTTTTCAGTTCCTCGTGACTGTTTTTCTCTCCCCTTCTAACCTTTCAGTCTGACATTTTCAAAAAAGGCGAAAACTACAGAGGCACACACACAGCTTATATTGCAAATGCTGGCATTAATGGTATTGTTTGTGCTGTTGGCAAGCCTGCTTTAAATAAGAATGGGACAAAAAGAATGCATTATCTGATCTCTTTCCCTTTCAGCCCCAGCCCAGAATGTAAATACCACATTCAAGCAATGTCGGAAAGGACAAGCAAACTACCTTTAGCCTCTTCAAAATGCTATTGCCCTGTCACGCGTCCTTCATTCTGAAATAGGTCAGCCTGAATGCGTCCATCTTTTAAACATAAGCCCCAGCAGGTACTGTGAAATGGATGTTCGGTTAACTCTGCTCCCATCTGACCCCCATCTGTCTGATTTGTTGATTTATAATCGCAGAGCCACTGCAGGGAGGTCTCTATCTCATCTTTCTGTCCTTTTCCGCTCCCGATTTTACCCAGTGGAAAGACAGAGGTTGCAGAAAGAAAACATTTTGTTGTTCTGGCAGAGGTGATAAATGTGTGTGTGTGTGTGTGTGCGTGTGTGTGACCTAACAGTAGCATCATAACTTTCCCGTTAACAAAACCTCTCTTTTGTTATTATTTTATAACACAATGAGAGGAATTAGTGCTTACAAAACGAATGAAGAGCAATTATGGCAGTTTCAATATTTTTTACTGGTTATAAACAAACTTTTGAAAGCTTTTTGAAGCATATAGCATAAGCTCTGCATTTGCATTGATGGATGATGACTGTATGATTGCTAATTTATTTAAAATCAAAACATTCAGATATAAAGCGATTCTTTTCTCATGCATGGTATCAGTTTGGAGGCCTATTGAACTCTGATTCCCAAAAGTATTTTTTGTGCATGACTGAATTTGCTGTGAGCACACAAGTGGGAGATGAAGATGACAGTTTTTTTTTCTTATGCTGTACAAGACAGTTTGTGGTGGAACTGAAAAAAAAACCCCATTTATAACAACGAACACTCCTTCAAACAGAACATTGATTTACAGTGGTAAATTTGAGGTCAAACAGTGGCCATTTTTGCTTCCTTGTCTTTAACTACCCTTTGTTTATGGTTGCACAGTTTTTTCCTACTTGACAATGTGTTAAAGCATTTTGGTAGATAGACATGCTGTGTGTGCAATAAACACGAATATGAAGCTGAGACTGAGTTTATGTTTGAAAGGAAATAAATGTAGCATTTTTGGGAGTGCAGCATATGATACAGAAGCGCAGTAGTGGCTAACTTTCCTAAAGAAACTGAAAAAAAAGGGCTCTGCCATACCAGTGCACTGCTTCATGAATGACATGTGGATCTTTTGTCTGGCTCTTCAACATTGTGTTTGCTCATACTAGTTTAAAAAAGATAATATTTACAAAAAGTGAACATGTTTAGGGTAGGACAGGTGGAAACTGAGTGTAACAGATATGAATCATCACCTCCCTCAGTTGGCTTTGAATCCCTCTCTACCTGTCTTTGCAGTATATCAACATGCTATTAAAGATGATTTAAATCTATTCACCACAGTGGTTTGGTTTGGTTCCTTGGATTGAATTGTTTGATTCTTCGAAATTCCTCAAACGCCACTATCAGTCTGAAATTCCTGGGGAGTTTTGTTCATTTTGAAATGTCATGTTACACACTGCACACAGATTTTACCATGCATTACACCACAAAGCTAACATTTTAATTTGATACCAGGAAGTTTAATCAGAATTTACAGTAAAGTACAGCCAACATATTAAAAAATAGTATGTTTTCATTAAAAAAGGATTGCATGACTACTGTTATGTGAAAGGGGTTGCAAAGTAACAAACCCTCAGAGAATTATCACACAACAGATCTATGAACTGTTTTAGTGTCTTTCAGCTCATTGTTTTGGTTTTCTGGAACACAGCTTTAATGTTTTGGTAAATCCTGATCTGCTCTCGTCAGACCAACATAAGCATTAATTAACTGTTTACTGGGTGTGTTAATAGCAAACTTTAAAAAGGATATGTCCGTGTTTTGTTCACCGCTGGCTTCTGTTGCCCCCAAGTGGCCAAAAAAGTGTGGCTTGCAGGTTTAAGGGGTAATTCCTTTCTCAACCTGGGCTTTACTCCTGTAGCTTTCCCCATGGTGATAAATGATCATATTCAATATTTCATCACTTAGCTCTGTGGAGAGCTTTATGTAGGTCGATGTTGCAAAGAGTGCTGCTCCGAACACATCCTGTGAATAGTGATTGAAGCGCTACAGTGGAGTCAGACCACAAGCTTCAGGGTTTATCCCAACAAGACTACCTTTTACCAAATGCTTAATGTATCACATCATTTTTCCCACCATCTCAGTTGTGTAATGGACCACTTTTCAGTAATGATAATACATTTTCTGGCCTTTTTCAGTAAGTACTCTTCAGTGAAATACTCTCGTATCAACTTTAGGGGCGTAATAAGTAATTAGCAATGAAAAACCTACCAAGCACAACACTATTAGATGCTGCAAGATGCCAACAGAGGAAAGGAATTACCGGGAGCAGTTTATTTTGTTTTTAATGACATGAAAAAAGTGGAGTAAAGACAATGCAAATCATTCATACATCTCATTTGATGTAGTCCCCAAACAGACAAAACAGAGCCTTTTATGGTACTCTGTCGTAATCCACAGTAGGAAACTTTAAAAAAAAATACACACAACACAACATACTTAATATAGTGACACAATTATATTTACAGTTTTCTAAGATTTTAATCAAACAATCTGCCATGATGGCTAATATTTTAGATAATACAACATAATTTAAAACTTATCTCAAAGCTGTGTTATTTGAGTAATTGTCTATGATGTACAACTTCATCACATTCATAGATACAAATGTTTTCTTTTTGTTTTGATTTTTGTCAGCCTGGATCAGCAAAGACAGCAAATATAACTGTAGGTCCTACAGGTTCTTTAAGCTACCACTTATTCTACCACAAATAATCTTTGATGCATTACAGTTTTATGCTAAGAATCAAGTTTTACCAGATTTTTTAATGCTTCTGTACAACAACATTTGTGGGCTTATAATCAAAGACGCTGATTTTGTTGAGTAGCAGAGAAAATTACAACATTAAATGGTATATTTGTGGTATATGTACACAGGTTCAATGCTGAGCTATAGCATTCAGTTTGCTGTCAGAACTCACACTTTTACTGCAAAAGGAAATCTTCTATCCTCAAAATTTTCAAAGTGCCCCCTCATCTTCTTCCTTTAATCACCTGATTTAACAGCACAATTTAAGATGGACGAAAACATAATCGTAAAGTACTGTACAAGACTCCATCTGCCCACTTGTCAAATTTCGATGTCGACCACAGTTAAGTCCTGGCAGACAGGGTTAAATGGCAGATATCTCGACCTGAACAATCCTGGCTAGACAGGAGCTTCGCCCACGCTCCCTGTGTGTGTAAATTCTTCATGCCCCGATGGCTTTTCATCCTCCAGGGCAGTTGTCATCTTCCGCCAACGCTGTAAAAAAGAGCTACATCAGTGCCAGATTAAATGCCTAAGAGTGATTCTTTAACGTGAATCCAGATATGGAAGCTGGACCAAAATGAACATGCAAATAACATCAAAATTTTCTTTATATCTCTCAACTATTGCCTGTAACCTAGTATTTATTTTGTGTAGCCTACTTTCAGTTTTCCCCTCCTTGCACCAGTTCCGCATAACAGTATCCTTTCTCTTTGACTGCAGGGAATTAAAAATACATTAAAAAACATGGAGAAAAGAGGAGGTGTATAAGAGGTTTGTACCTGTTTGATGCTGCCTTTGCTGGTGCAGAACATGTAGATGACATAGCCTGGGATCAGTATCATGGAAGACAAGGCCATGAACCAGCCAATCACTTGGCCCCACAGCGGGTACACATACTTCCCCAAGGTCAGAGGGGTCATCTCGATGGCACTGAAGGTAAACACCCCCTACAATATACATTTGTGTTAATATGGTATAGTCAATTTAATCTCAAATGAGATCAGCAGGCACTAAAAAAAAAGCTTAAAAAGCTTTAAGCTCAATGCTAACTTCAGCATGCTAACAATGCTCACAATACCAATGCTAACATGCTGATGTTTAGGTGAGCAAGTTCATGTTTACCATGTTCACCATCTCAGTTTCGTGTGTTAGCATGCTAACAGCTAACATTTGGTAAGTACTAAAACACAAAAGTCGGGTTTTTGCTCTTAAACCGTGCTGAATAATTACAAACCTGATGATGGGAGGATACATTTGTAAACTAACTTTTATGGCAATTCATCCTACAGTCATTAAGACGTTTCAGTCTAGTGGGCTAAATTCACTTTTCAACCAAATTTTGCCCGGTTTTAATCTATTCATTTAAATGTTTTTGACCTACCCACAAATCATCAAATCAGTGCTTACTGGGAGTAGGCTGGCAGAACACCATTCATTTTTATTCGTTCATTCATTTATATAGCTTCCTTTAACAGTACACTTCCTTTATCTCTATGTAGTGAAGACATTGCCATGATTTCCCAGAGGGCCTGAACTACAAATCACCACAGAGGGGAACCAGCTGAGCAATATCATCAATTCTCTACCTATCGGCACTTGCTGCAACTTGATGGGTCCATAGATCTCCGCGAGGGAGAAGGAAGCACATGTTAGAGTTAGATGTAGAAAAAAAATTGCATATCATGGGGGTTAAATCGATAAACCCTCCCCGCCTACCAGGCAGATCAATGGAGTGAAGAACTTCCAACAGAGCTTCCACCAGCCACATGGTCTATAGCCGATCATTTCCTCAATGTTCTTATAAAACCTCTCAGCTCCTGTGGCATAAAGAGAGGAGGACAAAGAAGAAACATGTGTGCGTTAGTGTGGAGATAATGACTACAAGAACAAAGCCTTATGGGGTGAATGAGAGGGGAAGCTGATTGGACAGAGGGTCTTATAACAGAAAGTGAAACAGATAAATCCAATTTCCTGTTGGACAGCCACAGCGTATATAGGAAATACATGGTCGTCAGGCGGGTTGGCACAATAAAGTCCTTTCTATCCAGATTGTCGCAACTAATTTCAGCTGTGATTTTACTCTAATGTGTTTAGTTTAAGCGTAGACAACATAAATAGGTATCCTACCATAAAACCAGGATATGGAAACGGTTTCAAAGAAGACGAGGAAGAGCAGGCACATCCCACTGGCGGAGTAGTAATCAAACAACTTGAACACGTACAAACCACCCTGGGAGATTTCAACACACACACAGACACACATATCTGCTTTAGAGGCTGAATATTAACATCCCTCTCTTTATCAAATAAAATATGCATGATGAATGTACACCGCAGGTTGTTGTCAGATCATTTTGCCATTATGTATAATGCAGGAGGGGGCTCTATTCCCTAGTGTTGACAACCAACTTCTTCTAATAATTATTATAAGTCATACATGCTCACATCCTGCAGTACAATGTAAAAACAGATCTTCTGAATATTTGTTATTTTAGAGACTCCACATGTGCACAACTCCAGTAAACCTGTGTGATGTTGGAGAAGCCGATAATGAAGGAGATGAAGCAGACAATGAGGATGAAGATCTTCTTTCTCTTCCTTAGCACCAGGGGATATTCATCCATCAGAGCTGTGATGAAGCCTTCCACTGTGCAGAACTAATACATGTACATTATTAAGAGACATGGGGCAGAATGTACTGGAGTTTGTTATTAAAAGAGCACTCCATTAACAAATAATAGTTCAGCAACAGGTAAAGTGTGTGTTGTTTGTACCTGACTGTCCAGGCCCAGCATCATGAGCATGGAGAAGAAGAGGATGGCCCACAGAGAGGACATGGGTAGCTGAGTGACAGCCTGAGGATAGGCTAAAAACGCCAGACCTGGACCTAAATGTCACACAGAAGAGACACCATTTTGTGGCAGTACTGATTTCCCCAAGTCTCAACTCAAGGAAAAGGAGCCTGAGAATCAGTTCCCAACCGCATAATAAAAATTGCCAAATTACACCAGACTGCCCTGCTAAAGGCACTAATGGAGCAACATTCCCTCTGCGTTTAGTGACAATTCTCAAACACTTTATGGCAACAAGAGAGACAGTAAAGAAATCTCAGGGGCTTCTCAGAAGTTCAAGCTTAAATGTGCAGCGACGAACTGAAAGCAGGTCAATTTGTCTGAGAAAGCTTGTTCCGTGTAAAGGTCAAATCACAACCTGTCTCGAGTTTTAAGAACATTTCTCTAATCACGATAAATATATGCCTTCAAAATGTTAGAACATGAGTTATCTTACCATCGAGACAGAGAAAGACCAAAACCATCACCCATAGTGTGGGTGGTGGAAAGTAACTAAGTAGTTTTACACGAGTACTGTACTTAAGCAGTTATAAAAGAGTCTCAATGTAATGATGACCTACATAAACAAAGAGAATCATCAGCTACAAGATGTACTACAAGGTTATTCTTACTGCCTGCCACTGGGTCGGATTATCCTTCAAATCAATTAAATTAAGTGGTAGAAAAACTACCATGATTGTCCACAGGGGCCGCAAGAATCTTCAAAAAATGAAAGTTCCTTGTAGCAGCCTTAAGTACACATTTGAGGTACTTTACTTTCATGCCTCTTTATACTTCTGCTCCACTACTATTCAAAGAGAAATATTTAACTTTTCACTCCAATAAAATTATTTGACAGCTTTAGTTCCTAGTTACTGCTGTTGGTGCTGACATTTTACAAACCAAACAATCAATAGATTAATCAATTGAGGTAGAGCAGTGGTTTCCCACCCCTTTCCTTCCCTTTCACACCTTTTCTATCATTGAGTAAACTGGCGACCCCTGACTAAATGACATATTTTATGGAGTCTTATGTAAAACAAGTGATTTGGTTAAATTTTGAGCAAATTATTTCCTATGAGTATTGATGAGTAAGTTTCACTAATATCTTTTGAAACTTTTTATGCAATTTCTAACAATCGCGCGTACTTAATAGGCTTCTTTTATTGACAGATTCAGTGTTTTCTTCTCATTGTTCTATTAGCTCTTCGGTTTTTCCTTTCCTTTATCAGATAGTGAAGGTACTTTTGATACTTTTAATACATTTTCCTGATGATAATACTTAGGTAAGGTAAGACTTTTACTTGTAATGCAGTCTTTTACAGAGTGGCATTAGTACTTTGACATAAGTAGAAGATCTAAGTACTTCCTCCTCCACTGTATAGTAGAACAAGATAATTATTTTCAGACTCGTGCCTTGGGGGATACACACAGCACCAAACAAGTCTATACAGTACTATACCTGATGCTGCTAATTCCTGGACAGGTTTCTTAGTGATATGGGACATAAAGCCTACAATGGAAAAGATGACGAAGCCAGCAAACATGCTGGTGCAGGAGTTGATGCAGCACACTATGATGGAGTCCCTGAAGAGAAAGGAACAAAATTAAGAAGATGAAAGAAGAAAAAATATATATAAAAAAAGGATGCACAAAGATTGTTACTCCATGTTCTTACTTGTACACATCATTGTTGAAATTGTTGTAGCTTCCCAGCGCGATGAGCGAGCCCAGGCCCAGTCCATAAGAAAAGAAGATTTGAGTCGCCGCATCCAGCCACACCTGTAAGACAAGAGATACAAGTACGGGCATATATTTGTGTCTCTTTGTCTATGACCATGTGTGATTTGATGTGTGTGCAAACCTGTCTACCTCAGACTGGATGAGCTTATGGAAGTCTGGAGTGATATAGAAGCGGATCCCATCAATGGCTCCAGGCAGAGTGACCCCACGAAAGAACAGGATGAACAGCATGAAGTAGGGATACGTGGCTGAGAAATACACCACCTAGAAGACATACAGAGAGTTAGTAAAAGAGATGCAAAAAACCTTGCTGACACAGAACACAGAGTGAATAATGTCTCAGCTACTAGAATATATCTATGGCTTCACTTTGCCAGAAGATCTCGCTAGAGGACGTGGCCAGTAGTTCTGTAGCATAATCATTATGCTTAATTGGTAATGTCCGTCAAGGCCAGGTCCTTGGGGGAATTCATTTTTCTCACACACATTAAAATCCAATTATCCCTGGCAGTGAACGTGTAAATGTGTTTCTGCTCACATACATCGCTTCGACTTGCTGTAATTTAAAATCCCAGGCAGTAGATTTTAGATTTTTTTCTTCTTCCTTTTTCTAACTCTTTTACTCCTTTTCTCTTAGTAGCTTCCTCATCCAGCAGTCTGGGATTAAATAATAACTTTTGAAACTGTGTCTATTTCAGAGTGAAACGCTGAGAGCGTGACAGGGTTTGAACAGCAGAATGGCAGCAGATATAATCAGGGTTAATATCTGAGAAGAATAAATACATTCTAATCCCTGCTCTATCAAATTTATTTTATGTATGAGGGCTCAGAATCAACACATATAGACAATTTACAAGCTCTCCAATCAGGATTGCATATTGGGCAGCTTTAAGAAAATGAATAAATCATAGATAAAATTAAAACAGACACTCTTCGTATAAAGAGCCATCCGACATTTCAATGTAATTTGCAGATAAATACAAATAAGCAATAGAAAGGGGGAGAGCTTAAACAGTCATTATTAGACAGAAAAACAATCACATCTGTGACAACACTGGTAAAAAGGAAATTAGGAAAACTGCATGTTCATTAATGATGTCCTATCCACATTTGAAAGATCTGTAATTACTAAAACATAATATACAGTTTATATTATAATATCTAACTGGGTAAGGGGCGGAAATGCCAGCACCACTTAATTTGAAACTCTCTCCAAACTCTAGAATCAATAATGAATGTGAATTTATGGATCAATGGATGAAATCCTTGTTTTCCTAGTTTGGGGACAGATCAATAGCCTGTGCAATGATGAATAACATCCAACTGAGCTGTGAACTACGAGCTATGACTCTATGCCAGTGTGCTTTGTGATTAATAAACACACAGACAATCAAACAACTGAAAAGGAGAAGGGGGCTGAAATGATCCAATTACCAATTTTACATATCTCGTCAAGCCTAAGATTACTTTTTCTCTGCCCAAGGACAGACCTAAATGATAAAAACAAACCCACTACAGAAGTTGAGTTCTTGTGTCAATTTTTTGGAGGCCCCTTTTGGACTATTACATTAATGGACCAATAAAACTACTAATTCCTGATCATCTAACTCTAATCCTAAAAAAGACTAGAGTCTGCTAGAACCTCTGGGCTGCACTTGGGTACCGCAGTGCTTTTAACTAAATGCTAACATGCTAGCAATTACAACTATAATGTTATAAACCATATAAGATCAGTGTGCTAGCATGCTAACATTTGTTAATAATCCTCACTAAACACAACGTACAGCTGAGGCTGATGGGAATGTCATTAGTTTTGTTTAGGTTTTGCTCATAAAAGTATAACAGACGTTCAAAATTTGAACTAATGATAGTACTAGAGGGAAAGGTTAAAGATCCACTCCAGACATGTATTAAGATGTAATTAAAAAATGGAACAATAATCTACTTCAGTCTGGTCTTCTGAATCCATTTTACTCTTTAATCAGCTCCACCGATCAAGAATGGACAACAACAACATCAGTTCTGCCTCCTGAGCAGCTCTATGCCTTGTCATGTTTGTATGATTACAACGTGAAATATGCAAAAGCGAGAGAAAGATGCTCAGATAGATCAGAAGTAGTCTGCGGCCAGAGACAGTACTGGAAGTTTAAAGAGAAACTCAAGCACAGAGTCTGACCTTCCCCGTCCACTCCACTCCTTTCCAGATTGAGAAATAGACAAGGACCCAGGCCAGTGCCAGAGTGCCCACTAAGGGCCAGCGAAGCTCCCCTGGCTCCTCCAGGCCGCTAGACATCTGGTGCATGTTACGCCTTCAGGAAAACACACACACACTGAATTCAGACACAGATAAGCACAAATAGCTTCCAGAAATAGCTTCAACACTTACTTCCACATTCTTGTACAGAGCATCTTGTACACACATTCACACACTGTATGGCAGGAACGTATCTCGTTGACTTACTCCCAGAACTCGGTGACAGCGCTGGTCAGGTTGGTGGTGTCTGTCAGGCTGTAGTTGCAAAAACATTTCTCTGTGTTCCATGGGTTATCACAGCTTTGCCAAGGCAGCTCCTGCACACAAAAAAACATATGCATAAAAAAAAATATGGCTCCAAAAATATGATGACATATTTCTCAGTTTTGCATTCTATATTTTGGCACCAAAGGATGTAGTGGGATTTATCGGATGTAGCATTTTAATAAACACATAAACCAACAGGATTTATGCAAGGAAAACACATTTCTGCTTTTCTTCCCAGGAAAACATTAACTATCATGTGTATCCTTCACTCTCCATGTTTTAATGAGTCATGTTTTTTTCGGCCTTCAGATTAAAAGCATAACAATAAGCAATGTATTGTTTGATCCCTGCTTCTCAATCCTCCATTTTTCCCACCACAAGAGCCTCAAGCACAATGCCTGCAAAGTCTTTAAATTTCTTCCATCAGGCTTCTTTGAGCAGTCATGCAGAGATATACAAACAGAAAGAGAAAAGCCAAAACAGAGAATGACATTGCAGAGGGGTTAAACAAGACCAGAGTATCTTTTCTCAATATACATGAATTCTCCCTATAGCTCTGTATTAGTCTCTATCACCTCCTAAATGAAATATTTGGCTATGCTATGCTTTTTCACGCTGATTAGAGCTGTGAGAGTGAACCTAAACAGTAGAAATGCCAGAAAAACAAAACAAAACCAAGACACAATATGATCTGTAGAGTTGGGGGGGAATTGCAGAGTTGGGTGATGTGGGTTTGTCACTACAGACTACAACTTTTACATTACACATAATCATTTGCCTCTTTGCTAATATAGAAATACTGCTTAGTGCAGCTTCAATTCTACTGCTTCATTTTTTGATGAACTTCTATATCTCTTTTAAACAGATCGGACTCAGTCAGCGGTGAAATAAAAAGGGCACCAGTGCAGAAAGTCGGATTTATGGTAAAACAGATACACACTCTGATAAGATTATTATGTTTTGTCCACTGGTATGTCACCCTAGGGGGGACTTTATCATGTTTTATCCACCATAGGGGCATCCAAGCTGTGTGCTGTGTGCTGTGTGGGGCAGTTGCCCTAATGATTTGCAACTAATTAATTAGTAGACTAATAGATTAATTTGCAGAACATTGTAAAATATTTGATTTTATATGAGTCCAAAACCCAAAGATATTTAATTAAAATTTACATCATATATGACAAAAATACTCACATTTAAGAGGCTTGAACCTGTTCGTTTTTGACATTTTTCTTTGAGAAAATTAATCAATTATCAAAATTGTTGGCAATAATTTTCTGTCAATGAACTAATCAGTTCTTAAAGTTTTAGTTTAGGTTTGCTCCCTAAGGACTGATTATGTAACATACCGAACCAAAGGAGTTGAATAAGTAGTAGAGCGCCCAGGCAATGATGATAATATAGTAGATGTTGAGCCAGAAGGACAGGACCACTGCAGCTAAACCAACACCTGAGGAAGGAAGAGACATTCATCATTTTACTGTACAATATTTTATAGGTGAGCTAACATGCAAGGTAAAAATGTAATGTAATATGTAAGGGCTAAATAACACCAGATGGTAGACAGAGAAAAAAAAGTTTGTTACTCAGCATGTTAGTTATAATCTTCATCATCCTCATCATTGTTATTTTTCCATTTCTTGTTGTTTACTTGCCCTTGGCTTTGAGTATCAGTTGGCACAGCGGCACACTCACTATCACTGTTGCCGTCTGTGCTGGCAGGAGATAAAATGTGCTTCACTCAAGCTCTTTGAGCTCGGAGGCAGTGGTATAATTGCCACCAACAAGCACTGGCTGGAGAAGATTCTTAAATGGGGAAAGTTGTCAACAAAACTATTATCCTTCTTTTTTTTAAAACTTTTGTTTTTATGCACCCTTTTGTTTATTTTATGTCAGCAACAAGTGTGATGTTATGGAAATCACCCTGAATCTGTGCTAATAAATCAAATGTTTGCTTTTCTGCAAAGGGGAACCGTGTCAGTAGCTCAAATGTGTACATTTAAATGATGCAACAACAGATAGTTCAGTACATCCATTTCTTCATATTTATATCTACATCTTACCTTTCATCATGGGCAAGAGCTTCCACACCCCCAACCCTCCCACTGAGGTGAACTGTCCCAGGGACGTCTCCAGGAGGAAGAGAGGTATCCCAGCAAACACCAGGGTCAGAAAGTACGGGATCAGAAAGGCCCCTAAAGAGATCACCACAAAGTGCATAAAGCAAATATGTTTGGTAAGATAATGTAGATACTAATTTGAAGGACTTTATGTTTGTAACTAATTATGTCAAAAATGGCTGAAGTACAATCAGAAGGTTTTAACAGCAATACTATCATAAACATGTCAGAGTAATACCCATATTAACACACTGATATGATTTAGACTGACAGCTCATAATATAATGTAGTGACTGTATGAAACCTTAATTTCTTTTTATTCATTTCAGACCGAAATAGTAATGGAATATTGCTGTAGTATTATGCTATGAATGACATATCCATTTCTCCAATTTGTTCAACCACAGCTCCCGCCTGAAGATCTATTTTATTATTAGCATTTTATGAAAAATGCTAGAAGACAGTCCTGTTTATAATATGATACAATCTGCATGCAGGAGACACGCATCTTCCAGAGAATATACACTTGCCCAGGGCGAAAGTTTGCAACTGATTAAAAAAAGTTTCCGTAAATGTTAATGTGTTGCTCAGGACCTTTTCCCAATAAAATGTATTCTGAAAGGGCAATGTCAGTCAAAGACCCTATGAGACATGTTCCTGTACCAGTTTTATTTATTAGTAAAGCTTGTGAGAATGGAATAGGGGCAACTGTTAATGCTGATTTGATAAGTGCACTGGAGGGACAGTTTGGGGTTTGTGAGACTAGGAAAAAGTTAGCTTTAAAGTCAAAGCAGCAACAGGAGATTGATAGGCTCATCCGAGAGTGAAGACAACTGTAGATAATGAGAGGGAAGGGCATTAATGCGCAAAAAAAAAAAAAACAGTCAAAAATGAACTAGGTAGTTAGAGGCTTACTTAGAAAAGCTGTATACACACAAAGATAGTGAGAGGTATACCTCTACATACACCCCCCACTGGAGCACTAGACCAATGGACCCCCACTTAGAAAGAGGTGGAAATGGTAGTTAGGCAATTGTGAATGGTGTGCTTTAAAGTAGGAGTTTTATATAGATGGGGAGTCAATTCCTACAGTGTGTTAGACAAGCCATTTAAAAATTATAAATATAAGAGTTGATTCAGAAGGAAGAAGAGACCGCTAGAAGTGTGTGTTTGTTGCTTGCTAAGATGAGGTAGCTGAGGGTGATGATTTGATGGCACTTACCTCCACCATTCTTGCCACACAGATAAGGGAACCTCCAGACATTTCCTAGGCCAATGGCGTATCCCACACATGACAGCAGGAAATCAAACTTTCCCTTCCAGCTCCCCCTGTCGGGTGGCTCTTCTTTTTTCTTTTCATCTCCAGGGGGCGCCACATGATCCAGTTCCTCAAAGGGAACCGCTTGTTTGACCTCTGTCGGGGAGTTTAAATCCACTGTACTCTTCCCAGTCTTCCCCATGGTGGGACCACTACAGACCAGTGGGGTCAGGAAGTCACTTGGTCCTCACAGCCTGTAATGGTGACGAATTAAACTCTCTGTTCCTATCCGACCGAGGCTCTCGCGTTGAGTTTGGTTCTCGACAGATTCAGACAATGCGCAGACACTCAATGTGCAGAAAATCTGTAGAGGGAGGGAGAATACATTTTGCAAAAGTGTTACCACAATGATATATGGGCAATACTGGAAGCTTTTTGGTGTGTTTCAGAGGAATGATACTTAAATTACGAACTACTGATGTTGAGGCATTTTTATGGTGTTTACAGCCCTTTTATTAACTTGGGCAACTATATAGCTCCCAAAACTTTGACTACTGCATAAATCAGTGAGAAAATAATACAGTGAGGAAGTTGAGAGTTCCTGCACAGACAAATATGAATCAGAAAGAAGGAAAAATGATAGTGGACCACATTTTCTGGTGTAAAGGTAATAATATAGTACCAGAGGGGTCAGGACACAGACTGACCTATTGTCTGTGGAGACACTAGACTAGCTGGCTAGCTTGATTTGTTCCCAATCCAAAAGCCCACGGGAGGGTATAAAAAAACTTTCCGTATTGGTCTTGAAAAAGTAAGTTACTCTGTGTGTGTGTGTGTCTGTAACCTAGCTTCTTAGCATCAATAGCTGTTAATTGTAGCCATTTAGAGCTAGATGATAACTGTTTCAACTGATGCTTTTGAAATTTATAAATGTTGTGTCTGGTTGTTGTGTAGAGATATTTTCCAAATTATTTCTTAGTTAAGTTATGACTTTCATACATCTCTAGTACAAACTTTAGCAGAAGCATATCCTAGAAAGGCATAATTATCTGGGTGGCTCATGACTAGGATCAACTGTTACAACTAGGATCTCAATTTCTTGCTCTAGATATATGTACTGTATATGTTGCAGTGATGGTTAAAAAAACAATCTGAACTTGACCGTAAGTACAAAAGTGATATTTTTCCAACCAGTATTGGGTGTAGCGCTGCAACTAAGACATATTTTCATTATTGATTAATCAGATTTTTATCCCTTAGATTATTCAAAGCCCAAATTTTCTTCTTTTGTTCAACTAAAAGTGAAACTGAAAGATATTCAGTTTACAATTACATAAAACATCGGAATGCAGCAAATACTTTCTATTAACTAAATGATTTATTGAGTCATTGGGGGTAATTGCTTCTCTAAAATTTCTTTTTAAAATCCTATTTTTGCTGAGCAGGTTCTGTGCCTCTCCCAGAGGCTAAAGAAGGTCTATTATATTAAATCAGGGAGGCATACCTACACACAAGAAAGGTTTTTATTTGATTATGGAAGCCAACAAAAATAGCACAGAACAAGCACCATTGGTCTGATATGAGCAGGCAGGTGGCGCAGTCCAGGTCATTCTTGAGAACACTGCACCGTACATCTTAATCACTACTGACACACCCTCTACCTCACCTTTCTTTCCAGTCCACCACAGTCGAGTTCATGGTGAGTCATCACAATACCAAAAGAAGGGAAAAGGAAGAGAGGAAAAACCTTGATGAAAATATCACAATCGTTCGACTTTGTGCTTCCCACATAACGCTGCTCACTCTGGAGAATATAAATATATGAGCACGCTTCTAGCAAAGTGAATTCATATTAATTTATATCTTAATTATTAAGCCATTAACTGCCTGTGGAATAATCTCTCATCTCATGTCCGGATGGCATCACATGATCGCGATGTTAATTGGGAGGAAGTTGTTCATGATTAGCAAATATTGATTGACCCAGAAATTGTCCAAATCCCTTGATTTCATCGCTCAAGATTATTTGCTGATACAAGAACAGAGATATTCTCTGATCAGCCCTGATCTTTTTCGAGGAAATTTCACTGCTCATTTTCACACAGAGAGGAGCTTTGAAACAGCAGGATCACACTGAGCTTTCTCATTGTATTATTCTTATGCATACTTAATCATCAACCATGTTACACTGATTTAAAAAGCCTGCCGTACTTCATTATCTGTCTGATTGACTGTGCTCACTGTCTTTTTATTCAGTATTCTTAGTATTCAAATGTATATTCATGTTCAATTGCAATTTCTCATGTTGAAACGTCTTTGCATTATTTAATAGATGCATCATTTATGACCACTACCCTTTGATGATGCTGATGAAAAACTTATTCGCAAAGTGTACTGTCTACGCAATGGACACAGATGATTCTTATTCAAAATACAAAAAAAAAAGGACCAGGTAATATAAAAAGTCAGAGTGACTGTTTTAAACAGTGACTGTTACGTTTAGTATAATCAATATTGATCAAACAGATTCTCCCCTGCTGTAAAATGACTTATGTAAAAAGCAATCAACTTCAATTATGCATAATACTGTGAAATGATCAAAAATGTACTTTCAAATTGTTGTCTAGGTGAGTACCGGTATCGGCTTCAAAAGCATACCAATAATACCAAACACATCAGAGATTCCCTTTGAGGGTGTCATCCATTTCGATTCAAAGTAAATCATGCTGTTTATGACACAGACTTTTAAGATGCCAGTTTTTATTTTGCCTTTCTGTCTCGCTCAACAATTAAAGCAAAATTTAACAAAGAGTTTCAACCTGTTAATGAAGTCATACTGATTAATAGATTTATTTCTAATGTCTCTGACAGACAGGGGAAAATGAGGATAATCCTACCTGAAAGATTTCCCAAGTCCTTCGTCAGGTCATCAGCTTCAGTTCTCCACACGGGCACCACAAAAGTCCTGAAACTTCAACTTAACATCCAGAGGGGAAATGATCATCTTTGAGTCGACTGTGAAAAGCTTCAAGCCTGCTCTCCAGGCCCAAGGGAAGCCACAATGTATCTGCTGCCTGAAAAGCTGTTTTTGATTTTGCAGCTCTTTCCTGTACACTGTATTTTGGAGGACCTGTGGCTGTTCCTGCTGCTGGTATCGAGTGGTTGATAATAAAGTTCGACCTGTGTGTCCTCTTTGATTACTGCTCAGCTCTGACTAGTGAGGCCCCGAGGCCATGGGGGATACGTCAATCGCCCATCTCTGGTGGGGAACTCTAGCGGCAGCAGCAGTGTGTCTTTTGTGCTTTGTACATGTGTTTGTTGCGATAGCCGAGGTCAGCTCTTGCCAACACCGTTGCCATGGTATTTCCCAACAGAGAAGGGCCCGATCAGTGAAAGAGCTCATGGAGTTTTGGAAAATGAAGCGAGGGACGACTGCTGGCAAGGACCCTGGAAATGTATGACCACAAATGCAGTCATGCCAGTATCAGACTCAGCAATCAGCACATAAAGTGACCTAATATTCATCCTCAGTGTCCCCACTCAAATGATTGGAAGGAAATATAGGACAGATCAAAATGTATGAGTGCCAAAGAATTTTAATTTCTCTGCAAACTTTGTGTACCAATGCCATATGCCAGCAATCTCAAGAAATACTGCATCTTAAAGCATCTTCAGGCATATAGCAACCTTTTCTGCTAATGACAAAATGGACCGTTGTGCCACACAGACCGAAAGAAAATGTCATGTGCCACTCTACTATACCTCAAGTATCTGCCATGTTATTCCTCTAAACTGAAACTTTGTTTGAACAAACTCCTCCTCTGTCTTTAAGCAGTGCCAAATAGTCCCAGTTGGCGCCTCAAAGGCACATTCAAGCATGACTTCGACTACTTTGATTTTGCTTAACCTTCACTGAGTTGTGGCCACAAGGGGCAATTAATGGCACACTGAATTTTCCCTAGATTAAGTTAGTCGAGTTGAGTTTGTTACTGGTTAATCCAGACACCATGAAACCATGTTCTTCATATAAAAACAAGTGCAATTGTTACACCAATAATAGATACAGTGACGTTAGGTATATTGTACTTTTAATTACTCTGGTGACAGTAAAACAATGTCTTCATTAATATTAATAAGATTAGATACGAGGCATGAACCCCTCTTGTTTCCCCTGGCAGGTATCCTCCTAACATTAATATCTGCTCCAGATATTTCATCACCAGCCAATTAGAAAAACTAATGAACATTGCCACAATGGCCCTGGCAACACTGTACCCAGTGCCCATTGGCGTGCTTGTGGGTGGGGACAGTTGATAGATACTGGGTTTTCAAAAGTGAGAGATTAAATGATATTAGAAGCTTAATTACACCCGTAGCAAGCTGCCCCTATCAAGAACAGATTCAGTGTAATCTCTGGTGAGGTGTATTGTCCGTGTGGACCCAAACGATGAAAGCTGGTTGGATTGGAGTTGTCAAAGCTGGTTTTCATCAATCTGTTTACAGCGTCCCTCGATCAATGCAGCCTAATTACGATTCCAGAGTGTCCACAGCCAAGAATAATAGGGAGCGATTATGTAGGTGACAGAGGCAAACTGACAGAGAGAATGAATGTCATAATGAAAAAGTTTAGTTTGTCAGAGTTTTGAAGATTTTTTCAGAATCTGATCATTTCCCTCCTTAGGTTTTTGTTAAAGGGCAGATGTGTAATATTTAGGTATGTTTTAATTAATGTATAATCACCTGACTATAGGAATCGTTTCTACGGTAGCCCTGAATGGACAAACCAAACATTTTTGGGAGTTCTGCAGCCACTGCAGACATGCTTGGAACAGGAGGGGAGAAGAGAGGCTTGTAATCTGCGTCGCTATAGATGCCACTAAATCCTACAATAAAATAAATAAAGTGATAAAAAGTGAGAAGCGCAGATTATCTTCCTCTGTCCAAAGTCCTCTTTAACAGCATTTATTTTCCTGCAGTAATGCTTGTTGGCTTTCCAAAACATGGTCAGAATTTAAGATCTTCGTTGTGGCAGATTTAAGTCTCCCACGTTTTTTTTAATACAGAACAGTTAAGGCGCCGAGACGAAACACAAATGTAGTGTGAAATAAAAAAGATACAACAGAAGCAAACCCTTCATTACACAATTGCTCCACCATAATGCAATGTGAAACCATTCTTACCTTGTTGTGTTTTTTTTAATAAATTTGTTCATATACTGCATATAAAACTTTGTTGCTCCCTTTGTGGGGTGTGGCATATTGTGTTAAGGCCACCATTAAATCCACTGTAATATCTTATTTACTTTGTAACAGCATCTTAACTTATGGATACCTCTGAGATTTGCTGACTCTGCATGC